TACCGCGCAATAAAAAAGTAATTGTCTGAATAGCGCCCTCATTTGACGAAAAGTTGTTATGAACTCCTGACTATTCTGGATATTCAACGTACAAGGCTTTTATTTAATCATGGAGGAATAAGAACACATGGTTTAATATTCATTGGAATCATTGTAGACAGGTCTGCATCTGCTGTGAAGTAAAAATAAGCTACTCTTGGTTGCATGCAGTATGTAACGTTCATTTACCCAGAGCATCCAAGTCAATGCCTAAGGGATGGGCGTACCTTTTCGTTTATTTGTTGTAATCTGTGACAATTATGGTCCTTTCAGCTAAAGGCGCCCTCACATCAAAATTGCAAAAATGAATTTAAGTATTATTAGAAAAGTACAGAATACACACAGAAATAAAAATCAAACGCTAAACATAGCAACACAGATCTTACATTGCACAACCAATAACACCACAGTGTATAAATACCCCTCAGAAGCCACGGTCCCTTAAAACTACAACCGCTGGGGATGTTAACGTTGGGCGCAAACAGTCGGCCATGTCATCCATAATTTCCTTTAGCAAGCAATTTAGCAAATTTATATTGTCTTTCCAAAATGCCACCCCATTTTTTTTCTTACAAGGGAATTTGCGGAAAAAGATGAACCCAGTTATTCCCCGGTTTTATTTTCCCCGAAGGATTCTTCCATCATTTTACTCCGACAGTATGTTCTCCTGACACCCCTATGAATAGTTTCAGTATAGGGGGGGGGAATCCTGCTCCCCTGTATAATTATAGGCATCTGTAAAATTGCACTAAACGGCATTTCCATTTGTAACCTTCGCGATGAAGAGATTATTTAAGTATTGCGCAGAAAGCACCAGAATAATCGTCAAAGAAGCACTGTTAAACAGCAACGTATCCAGCTTTTGGTGTGGGGGTGGGGTAAGCGAATGCGGCTTCGGGACCATTCACTGATGTCGGGAGATAAAAAAAAAATCAAAAGCCTCATTCGCGGTTCTGACATCCTTGATTTTTTTTTCAGGGTGTTGTTTTCTTTGGTGCTAATATTTGATACAGAAATATACCGATCACTTTCGTACTTATGAAGTATTCTTTGTACACTAAAAAAAAAGAAAAAAAAAAGATCCGTCCGCCCTGGATACGCCACTGCTGCTAAACCCCTTTTAAGTTTTAAGGAGAAAAGTACTCGGAAAGTACTCAGCCGAGTACTTTCTCCTGAAAAGTTAATTTTAATCAAATAATGATGGTCTGAAGTCATTATGTTGCTTTGTAATCTTACCTTTATGTATGCACCATCAAATGCCAATGTACTCCAGCTTTGTTCCCTCCTAACTAGGTAAATATTTGGCACAGAACTTGGTTCTCAAAAAGTACTCGACTACATCACTGGAACAATGTAAGTGCTTTTTCAATAAGTTTGTGCTTAAATACCATTGACTGAAACGTACCAAAAGTCCAAGGAATATTGAAACTTTCGTTTACTGAAATCATTATTGCTCCCATGTCCCTAAAAAGCGGTTGTTCTGTGTCCTGAACGCGAAAGCGTGCATGTGTACGGTTTCAGTATTGTATGTTCAGGAAAAATATTATTTTACCTCTAAACTCCTTCTCCATTGAACAGAATTATTCCTTTTGTTATCCTAGATTGTCAGGCCTGGCGAGTGAAATTCTTCAGAGGATATAAATTTCACAGGCTGATGGTCGATCAGGCAGTATCGATTTTCGAATTTTTAATCAATAAACCAATTGCAGCTTGCGGCATAAACAACTCCGTCTATTCTTTTGTGTTGAGCGAATCCGATTATTTTCTTTTCCATTCATGGGGAGTTCGTACAGGTTATTTCTTCACCTGTAGCCTTTGGTGCTCCCAGCCACCAACGGTGCGTGCGGACTCTTACGAGATCGGGGACCTTCCCAAGCTAGGTTGACCCGGCACGTTTTGCCGTTGGCAACCCCTTGGTTACAAGACGCGGTGTCGGGCTGACAAAAACGGGCCATGTACCCACTCCCCTGGCGAGCGCGGCAGTTTAAGTTTGATCGCTCGGACTTCGATTTCAAGCTGGCATTGTTTGACTTGTCAAACTGAGACACAGGTATCACACAGTACAACGGTCCGATACTACAGTTCCAAGTGACAGCAGAGCGTCAATTTAAACTAGGTGCCAATCAAGCCAGAAGTGATTTTCATATATTCTTGTCATAAATCGCGCTTGAGCTCTGGAAAAATTAATGATTAATCACCATACTCTGTGTTACCAACAAGTATATGGCACAGCTCCGTGTGGTTATTGACTTTTCCATTGCGAAGAGAGGGATACACAACTACGCGAAAAATAATGCTTCGGGTAATGTCTGATACCTGTACACCTTTTTCAAGACAAGTTATTTGCTCTGTCAGGTTTATTAATTATAAAACCAACATGTCGAACATTATAACCGGTGCAATCATTTTGCAACCAATAGGAAATAAACGATGCAAATTAGTTCATACAAAATGACTATTGAAAAAGAGTTAATAAACATTTTATAAAGAACCACAGAATTTAAACGATTTGTTTCTTTCTGATACAAAGACCGAACGCCGAATTTCTTAGTTGACCTTTTTCCATTCCCCGGCATAACAACCACTTCTTATAAAAGAAATCTTGTCACTGATCTGTTCCGGAAAATGTCGATTCCATAAATCTTTAACGCGCTGTCTCTTGGGCAGTTCAACTCTTAACTACCGATGAATAATGCATATTTCCAATCACGCCGATTCATATAAGAAGAGCTACAATCTGGAAAACAGGAACCGGTAATTTTTTTCCAACCAAAATTCAGCCATATTAGGGGTAAGACTTCAGAGAGTAGTACAACAGGTGCAGGGGTTAATCCTCTCCCCGTTTGCCCCCCCTCCCCAACCCACAACACACAGACTCCGGAGATATCCTAAACGACTCTCGGCTTCTGTGCAACGAGGTCACGTGGCAAGACAACAACATACTGTGCAGATCGAAAGCAGGTATATTACGGGCAAACGGTCGATCGGATGCATTGCGGTATAGAATCAACAAACCGCTTCGGGTCAGACAACACTAACGGATCGAATTTTCAGTGGCCCCGGTGTCTGCGCGGATGGAGAACAGAAGCATTTAACTGGTTATTTGGTAAACAAGCTGATTAGCGAATATGAGTAGCGGGATAAATGCTTATGAAGGGATGGTGAATTATACAGACGCACAGGGCTTCAGTGGTTCACCTGGACTCAACCTATTTTACCACGGTAAGTTCAACTTTCTGTTCAGTCGAGGATGAACCCGATGACGCTGTTGTTCACAGGCTAAGTGACTTTAACTGAACTCGAAAACCAAGCAACAAAGACTGGGATTTACTTGTCTTTGACAGAACAAATTCAGAATTACCCTTCTCATCTTCTGAGTGACTGAAAAAGCAGGAAGGGCCACGGTGATCAGTTATCACTGGAAGTGTACAAATGCAAGGCAAGGACAGTATAATCAGCATGCGTGGTTAGAGATTTTGTACTCTAAAGTTCATCGCTAGTCTTCGGCAACTTTGGGCCCATGTGAACCCTGGAGTTTTTCACTGGCGAAGCGTGTGGTCAGTGTTGGCAAGTCGGCAACCACAGTTGCCCCGCCTTCAGAATGGATTGGAGGTGTCTTATGGGTAACCGGACGACATTTTGAATTTCGAAAAGATAGAACTCAATATGATCGCTAGAAAAAAGAAATAAAACCCAGGAAAAAAGTCATGCCGAGCAACTCGCCGACTGTCTTCCCGCCGCTACGGCGGACTTCACCCCAGCAGCGCGCCAGGACGGCCCACACCGAGTCCTCCTTGCCCCTGGCCGGGAGCGCCCGCGTCTCCACTCACCCCTTGCTGCCTCCTCACCACATGATGAGACGGCATCCCCATCACCACAGGCAACACCACATGCACCCCCATCACCACTTCTCACCACAGACGCATCGCCGTCACATCTCGGATACCTCGCGGGCCGCTTGCTCTTCGGCCACAGATCACATCGTGGAGCTCTGTGACGCCCCGGAATTGCCCGAAATCTCAGGTAGGAATTTTATTTGGCTAGGTCTTGTATTGATGTCACGATTAGGTCAATACGATAGATCGTATTTGTAAAAGTCACTCCATGTCCAGTAATTTCTGAGCCTCCAGTAATTTCTCCAACCTCCCCTTAGATCTTGGCTGTCCCGTGCCCGAATTTTGAAACTTCGGATACATGTTCTGTCTAAGAACATCAGTGAAGCTTGAAGTTAATCTGAAGTAGGGTTTTGCTGTCATGGTAACTTATAGCTCGTGCCCTCACGAGCGTCGACCACGTGCACTGAGCACGTCAGTGAGAAAGTTGACATCTTTGGCTGACCTGTTTCGAAAAAAAAAGACATTTCACAAGAAAAATACACCCAGTTTCAAACAATTAATACCAAAATTATGGTATGATTGAAGGTTTGGCTGGAAAAATGCACCACTCAATGTAGGAGGTAAAGTGGGGTGGATTCTACTTGCCGGGTTTGAATAAACAAAACTGTTTTATCAATTAATACAGAGCTACTAAGGCAGGGTGCTGCGAGTCGCGCAACCATCGTGCAGATGATCGAGCAAGGAATATGTCGTACATCCTTCACCGATGTACAGAGGTTTCCCGCCATCCACCCTTCCATTATGGTAAGACCATATTAATTTACCCATATTATCTACAAACTAAACAGCTTTATTTCCTATTCGTCGAAGCCAACATAATTTTGTAAACACTTTTGTCTTAACGATCTTATATAGCACTTCGGCTTGGCGAACCATTTCATGAAATAGTTTGCAAACCATTTTTTTAAAGTTCAGTTTCATGGACACTATGAAAACAATGATTTTGAAAAGGAAATACGTACCACGACACTTCAATTGGGAATAAAACAATCTTTGATGAAAAAAAGAAGTTGAAAGAAAACTTTTATAAGAAAGAAAACTTGAATGAAGGATCGTATGTGCGTGAAGATTAATAGAGCATGATGCTGATAAATGGAGTAGGGTATTTTCCCAACACTTTTTAATAAGTTGAAGCGTCAGACGTAAATTCACTCCTTTTGGAAAAGTACAGCATTTCTAAAATTTCTGCAATTTGTGTGACAGAAAGTGTACATCACTGGCAACATATAACTGAATAAGAAACCATTTTAAAGTACTAATCTATCCGCCGCGTCTCACCCAAAGGAAATATTTATTGTTCGAGGAAAGGCAGGTGCTGCCTGCTGGTTTTGTTATTTTAGGTTTTCTTAAAAAAAAAATCGGTTGCGTGTGTTGCACGGTGTTCTTCAATGGTCATATCTTTGTATCTTTTTATCTCAGATTGTAATTAATCACATATGTTTCTTTCACTAAAATTAGCACTTGACATTTTATTACCTTCATGAAAAATGAAATGATACATCGGTTTTTATGTTTTCTCCGGAGCTAATCCGAGCTCAGTCGGCCGAGTGGCAGCATGTGGTCTATTCCAGGGAGTGTTTACCGAATCGCGCTCTCCACCGTTACCCGGGCCTACATCTCTCGGCCGCGTCAAGAACGCGGGAGGCCCGCTATAACACTTGAACTTGATATGCTATCGAACATTATGTCTGTTAAATCGTGGATCGTAAAGTTTGCTTGTTACGATGCCCACAAAAGAGCATTTAAGTTGGTTTGTTTGGCAACTGATATGGCGTTATCGCCCCGGTATTGTTGTCAGCTTCAGGTTCATTCAAACAAAGAAGTGTGTGTTGTGATACGGAACCCTTTGAAGGCATTCTTCTGGGCAGATTTCGATGGGTAAAGTAGACTTCCGTAGCAACTGTAAAGAAAAGTAAGGGGTCTAATGTTTCGGCATGGAAAAGAAATATTAAATTGTGGGCCCTTAAACTCAGACACAGTATTGCAGAATTAAAATTCAACGATAGGAATAATTCGCACTTGAGCATTTTGATTTACCTCAGTTCAAGAGGTTGTTCAAAGTTGAAAAAATGTACAGAACAAATTAGTGGCATAGCAACACGTGCACACTTCTAACTAATGCCGCACTTGGTCCAAATCTAATGATGCTTCCTTAGGCCTTAAAAACTTTGACACAGTGTGATATTACACTTTGTTTAAGTATGCCAAAGAATCCATAGCTTCAAAGGTGAAAAGTAAAAATGAAATAAAACAAAATGTTTATTTCATATTTGTTGTTAACAAACTAATTAGAGAATTATAAAGAGAGGGAGAAATTGTCATGCAGTCTAATCCAAACAGCGGTTTTCTCTGATTCGACTGGTCTGCATGCGTCTTTGATTGTTAAAGCTTTAGCAACAGAATATTTGAGTAAACAGAAATTTAAACATTGCCACGGTCGATGCTACATTTGGCGTCACGAGTAACCATCTAAAGTATAACTTTACAGTATTGTTTTATCATAATTTCATTTTAACTCTGCTGACCTCACTCAACCTTCATGTTGGGACAATATTATATCTAATCCAAAGACTAACAACACTGGAAGTTATAGAAAGAATTTGAAATATTAAAATTAAGTTAATTGTTCACAATTCAGTAAATAACATACGTGTTAACTGCTTCATATTTATACTCTCATTTACAAAATATAGAAACAAATGACTTGAGCTGAAGATTGTTTAAGTATATCAGCCTCCTGCATATCTAGCGAATAAAGTATTTGTCTCGGGAAGGTTAGAAAATATTCTGTCTTCATCAAGCACATAATCTGGAACATTTACCCATCACAAACACATTAGTTAAAGTTATCCACTCCAAAGTCAATTCACAAGCTACCCGAAGTACATTGATTTTGTCTTCATTTACTGTTACATGTGATTAGGCCTGCAGTCTGACATGCGGGTGGACTTGAAATGAATCCGATCACTAATATCGTGATTTGTTGATTTATGTGTTTGCTTTGGTTTTGTTTGCCTGATTTGAACAAATCGTTTGTTTCACCACAACCACCCTGAATTCCCTTGAAACCTTTCAGAGTGCCCGAATGGAAAAAATCGTTCGATATATCACCTTCGTGACAGCACCGCCAATTGAGAGGCGAGCGCCGAAAGACCGGCCAAAGTCATGGGACAGAAAGGCCTACAAGGTAACTGTACGCGTGTGTCAGTAAAGTGGTTGATTTTTTTTGTTTAACTCCAAGAAACATTCTTCCTAGATGGCAATCACTGTGGTAAGCAAGCGGCATGTTGCAGTTTTTGTATCTGAAAATTTTAGTTACCTTTTTTGTTTTCTGGTAGACTGCAACAAGCCAAACGGCATTTAAAGTTCCAACCTGAACCTATTCCTTGTTCATCCAAGTGAGAAAGTATATGAATAATAAAAAGCAAGAAAACAATTCCCCAAATTGAAAAACAAATAACACCAAAGGTAAATAAAGAAAGGAACACTGAAGAGCAGGGTCAAAATGTTTTCTTTGGGTGACTTTTCTTGATTAAAAAAATTGTTAAAACAAGTTTTATAAAACGGCGTTGAAGTTATTTCATTTGCTGAGAAAACAAAGAAAGATTCACGTTAACACTTGTCTTATGTCTACCCATTATTTTTTTGTTTTGATGCACATTTTTTGAAACGAGGAATGTTTTAGATATTTTCAGAATGAATCGGCTCCGTTTACGGTTTCTAGGGAAACGAGGTTATCATAGACAAGCCATTGAATGTTTTTCTAATTTGTGATATAAGTTAGATAACGGTCCATTATCGATTCGATTATGCAAAACCCAAACAAGCACCAACCTTGTCTGGAAAGATTTTAATAAGTTTAATTTTGTTCTCTTGCACCCAACGAGGACGTTCCTTCCATCCACAACAACGATTGACGGATGCACATTGAAATCTAACGACTTGTGTTTAACAAAGCTTTCAATCGTTCTCGGCAAGGCCGTACAAAAGCATTATCTAAAAAAAAAAATAAAATATTTTCCACAAATGAAATAACCCTGTAAATTTGTGCCTTCTTTGTACAGCCACTAGGCCCCGAGGAATGCTTTCGCTGTCAGCTTCAAACTGAACACGCCGTTTGCGAGCGAGTAAGTAGACAAATCGAAACACAATTATTGAATAAGAATTGGAAGTATTATGTCTTTTGCAAACCATATTTTGATGGTACAATAGGAAAAAGAGCAGTGTTTGGGTGTCTGCCAGCGGTCGACTGGGGGCAGTCAACCCTGGAGGGCTTTTATCGACTTGAATCGTATCTGAATGATAAAGACTTTCTTTCTCGGCCTAACACCTTCACAAAAGAAGATGTTGATTCCTGGAGTCCTTAAATTCGTGACCTTGCCGGTACTGTGAGACCCCCCCCTGCGTGGATGTATCCGCGGAAAGCGGGTCTTAATGCTCAATCGAATATCGATTTAATGGGTCCATGACTGTAATGAGACATTAAAAAAGAGTGAACAATGAAAAATACATTTTCAAACTAAGCACTTTTTATTAAGCGAAAGTCCAATGTGTCAAACTCTGGAGATTTATAAAACAAAGTCCCACAATTAATAAACGTGTTATTGCATTTATTCTATAAGCCCACGTGGACACCTCTAGTCAACTACAAAAATGCATGCCCTGTCCACAGTACACATTGAAATATTGTGCGTTTCAAAATAATTCCAAAATATTCAAGGCTGTTTAAAGTTATATAAAAGAAAATTCATGCACACCGAATTGTTGTCTGACGAACTTACCGTCCGTTCCATTTCAGCACAAATATCTGCGAGTTGGCGGCGGTTTTCGCCACAGTTACTGGTACATCAAGCAGACGATGGACATCGTTGAAGCGGTAAAAAAAAACTATCAAGGAGAATGGACCTTTCCCATGAAATATGCAAATTGGACGGGCGCATACGCGCTACTACCACTGGTTGGCAAGTGCAGCCGTCAACATTGTCGGTAGCGTAGCCAAGCTGCTAGTAGTAACCATAACCTCGAGCGTTGACGGTTAGTCAAAACTATATTACTGCCTAAGCTTGATACTTGAGCACGCTTTTCTCTAAACTAAGTGAAGTTTTCAGTGTCCTGAGGTTGGAAAGTAACAGTTCATTGTCTTTCAGTTTGGCACTCATGTCAAACTATACTAGCACAGAAACGGCGATAGTGATGCGCGCATGGAGATTTGAATGGTTACGTCAAAGATTTAAGCAACTTTGCCAACCAGTGGTACTAATGCACCTGCGCCTGCCTTATTTGCATATTTCATGGGAAAGGTCCATTGAAACAATCAAATCGAAGAAGGGGTTGGATGAGAATTGAAGCAGTCATTAATTTCTCGTACACAGAATTGCCGCGTCCGAAAACATGAAGGCCGAACTTGCAAAAGAAAAACTTCGCGCTGTTAGTTGTGTCACATAGGCCCAGAGGGATTACACTTCATTTTTTCTGTGATTCCTTGCTTTGTCAAAGGAACAGTCACCGGGTGCAAGTTGCAAGCTATGACGTAAGAATTCATGGGGCGGCAGACAGAAGTTGTCATTTTGAGCGTCATCATGCACCGGGCCAAAATATGAAAATCTTGCTTATGCTCAACACGGTACAGTTGTCAAATCATTCACGTCGGACTAGAAGTCTGGTCACCAGTGACACAAAGGAAAACAGCGGTTTGAATAGCTTGATAAATGACTGGATCATTGGATGATCACCGCCCAAATGCTGCTGCAGCGTAGCATGACCTCAAACAATACCTCACCATCCAATCCCTACAGGAAAATAAGCTGCACAATTGAAAATCCATGAAAAGGATATTGGTAACGTTTTCATTCTATAATGGACGTTTTGTCTTTGCTAAACGTCAAACGGGCGCACACATCTCTCTCCCTCTGGTACTTGTGAAACCCACTGGAAGATTGCAATCTGTATTTCCTTATTTGAATACTCTGTGCTTCAAAACGATGACATAGTTGAAATAATTCGTTTAATTTGTGCCAAATACATTTATTAGGAACATCGCAAGGTTGCTGAGGAGGTCCGCGAGAGGTACATGGCAGAGTTAGCATCGAAGGCGAGACAAGGTGAGGAAATAATGTCGATTATGGAAGCACGTCCCGGCTGGGACTGAGACTGTAATTGGGAAACTAACACAAAGCTTGGAACTGAGGTTAAGACTAAATATTCGAGATAACTCTTCATTAGGAGCAACCCCGAGATTGATTAAGGTTGAGTTTCAAAGGTTGACATCTTGGCCGTGGTCAAGACTGTGGTTGAGGAAGAAGTGGAATTGGTAGTTAGGTTTTTACAGGAAAACACAGATCCTTTGTTTGAGGTTAGAAATGAAATGTGCTCATGATTTAGCTTGAAAGAAAAAACTTACGGGTTGGAGTGGAGTTTGAAATGGGAGGTCTGGGTTAAGCTGGGTGAGATGGAGAAGAACATAGATAGTGAGTTGGAAATAAGTTTGGGTTTCTGAACAGGAAGGGATAGTTATGATTTTACATAGGAGTGGAAATCGCTGTCAGTAAAATGGAACGTAAAACCGAAATCCGAACACTGTGTTTCAGAAATTGAATCATGAATGATTGACGTCAGGACTGAAATAATAATGAGGATTAAATTGAAATTAAGACGGAAAGTGACATTGGGGTTGGGAGTACGAGTAAATGTTATGGCCATGGTTGTAATGGAGACTGGAAATGAGAAAGCAGATTAGACTGAGTACTACATTCATGTATAAGCTGTCGTTTTTGTGCTATGCTATCCAGCTCAGACAAGGCGTAGGATCAAGACGTACGTGCGAGGGGCAGACGGCAAGGTGGTCAGCCGGTACTGCTTCGTGACAGAGGAAGAATACCAAGAGATGAAGAAGGACCTCAAGCTGGCCAAGAAGATCCTGGGCGTGGCTGAGGATGAAGAACTGGAGGACTGGGTCAGCTCCAAGCGGAAATACGTCATGGACGAAAAGGGCGAAATCGTCAAAGGTAAAGTTGGGAAACCGATTCTCATGGTGCAGGCGACTGTTTATATTTTAAGCGGCCTAAAAGGTTCGATTTTTGAAATGACAATGTGTACTGGTATCATACCACTCATACCAATCTCTTCTGACCGCCATCTCTGATGTCACACCGTGACCAAATTGGGGCATTTTATTTACTACCACGGCTAGGCTGTATTCACTTAGTCGCACAAAATGTCAGAGTCGCAGCAATCAATGACAGAAGTCACACACGATAAAATGTAAAGAATTACGGAGCGCAAAGGAATGCTCTAGATGTCAAGAATGCAAAGAATACCAAAGATGAGCGAGCCCATAAAATTGAATTACAAGTTGCCAGAGCCACTTGACAGGTACAGGCTATAAAAGAATCTAGCGAAATGGAAATGGAATGCTTATTATTTCGTCAGAATACAAGGGTGGATATAAACAAAGAGCCCCGCTTGCTATTTCTATAAAGCAAACTGAAACGTAAGAACTCAAACGGTTGCATTTGGTCACATCGTAATTCCTTCTGAATAAACTTTAAGCGAAGACGTTGTCAAGGCGGGTAACAGTGCTTACTTCTTCAGGGTAGAGAAGAGATGCATCTTTGTCGTCTTCGTTTAATTGTATGGCATTAAAATGTCATCGGAAACAAATCATAACTCTTCTTGTCAGCAGAAAACAATTTCTGTTAGTTATACTGAAAAATATTGAGGAAAGAGTTTCATACACCAACAACACTTATATTTTCCTTAAATTGTTATAATATCCGTGAGAAAGTTATAATATGTCCTAAAAAGTGGAATTTAGTGAAGAAAATTCCGAAGCATTTGCTTAGAAAACACTTGTTTTCAGACAAGTGTCATAGGTTTGTGCACAGGGTCCGATACAGGGAACTCTTACCTATATTGACAAGACTTTGAAGACTCAAATTTTGCTCGCATACAAGATTGTTATATACACTGAGACGGTCGATGTGTGATGGCAAAAAACTACCGTAGCTCATCTCCTGCCATATTGACAAGATGTTGGCGGAATCCCTTCAACGGCTCAGTTGTAACCAGTGATGCCCTCTGCCGTATCGATTTGAACCAACTCTACCCGGCCGGACAAGCTCGGTGGTCGAGCCTTAAGATTAGTGGTTCGCATCTCATCGGGGCGAACGTCAGATTACTTGTTCACCAGTACTGAATACTTGTCCCTTTGACATTTGAACCCTCTGTCATTCTTGACACTCGGGCGACACAAACTTTATCTGGTCAACATGACAAGCCTTTTGCTGTAGGTGTTGCATAGCAATTTAATAACGGTTCCCTTCCATTCGTTACCGTGCAGTTTCTAGGCGGAAAATTGGAGACAGTGCGTACGAGGAGAGTATTGAGAGCGCGGACGTTAACAACAACTACTACTATGGGAAGGATGGCCGAAGAAGGGGGTAAGATGAGACAAACTTCCGAATTCAGTGGTTTCTTCAAAATCAAGATGACAGATTTTCAGGTTACAGATACTTCAACGGGTGCTCTTCTCTTAAACTGACTGCGGCTCTTTCAAAGTTTTTAAACTCCTAAAACAATCGGAGAAGCATCCTCTCTGAGATTATTTTTGTCAGTACCACTGATACCCACTTTTATGTTAGTGTCGATCCAAAAAGGGATTGCTGACGTATTCTGCAAAACTCGGTATCGCGATCTTGCGAAATGTTAGAAAACAAACTTGAAATAGATTGTGCATGTAAATAATAATTACACATCTCAGGAGTAGAAGAAATCCTTTTTCTTGCTCTAAGGTCACACGTTGCGGTACATGAATTGGCCATTTTCTTTTACAGTCTCATGGATAACTGAAAAACATTTTGCTAGAGCTTCATATAGCAGGATTTTTTCCGATGTTCGCTTTTCGAATCACAGGCGGCGAGGGCGCCACCACCGTCGGTACAGCGACAGCGACAGTTTCGAGAGCGGCATGGGAAACAGCATCCTGGAGGAAGGCGAAGGAGGGCATCGGCGGAGGAGGCGGTACAATAGAGGGCGCCACGGCTCCAGCGGCCGCTACTCCTCCGTGGAATCGGTCGAGTCCTACGTCAGCGCAGGCGGCACCCGAAGAGAGCGTGTAGTGCGGCGACGCAGGCGGCGACGTAGTTCGGATTCCTACGAGAGTTCGTATTATGAAGGTGAGTAGGCCTATGTAGACTAAGCGTGCTTGACACCACAAATTCTTAGGCGCAGTTAATCCTTTAAAGCGTGTGAAATTACGCACGTTGATTTTAATTCGTTGGCCGTCTTTTGTGCCCAACTCTGCAGTGGACTGCTTAAGTTGCCCAGTGTTCACTTGCTCAAATTGGAAATGGTACAGCATCAAGCTTAATGCATTAGTTTCCCAAAATGAAAGAGAACTGCTCAAAGCAAACCGTGAAACAATCAAGAATTAAGACATGTGTTCTGTTATATTTATGCCATTTTGATTTAAATTGTCAATTTGCCGAGTTAAATGTGATGATACTAGTGAAAATAGCATATTGATAGTATTTAAAACATGAATTACTATGAGTGATTCAAACACACAAGATAATGACTTTAGCTTCTTTTGTAACCATAACCAGTATGACCGAAAAAAAGAACTTTGTATGCTTTACAAAACTCTCTTTAGACAAAGACGGTAAAATGCACAGGCGCCGGAGACGGCATCGTCGCCGCTCGTACAGCGGTAGCGACTCGGGCACCGGGCTGGATAGCGACGACAGCCGGTACCGCGATGGCAGGCGGCGGGGAGGTCGACACGGCCACCACCGCGGCCACGGACGACATCATCGTGGACGGCACCACGACGACTACAGCGACGAGTACAGCAGTGGGTCGAGCTACGACAGCCGGGACGGCAGCGGGGGCAGGCGAAGAGGGAGACGGCACCGAGGAGGCAGAAGAAGGCGATACGACAGCAGCTACTCCGATGACAGCGACGAGGATTCGCATTCCAGGAGGAGGCGAGGAGGCAGGAGACATCGGCGGAGACACAGGTATAACCGTTCAGTCAGTTGCCCTGCCGGCGTTCATCATTGAGGCCCCCTTTTCGTACCAAATCATCCCACTGCTTGAAGTGATTACACCGAGAAAAAACCCAAACAAACAAATATCTGCGCGGTAGCATTAATTACAGTGATATCCTAGTTTCCTTTCACCTCGATCTTGATGAAATATACTGAAGACTAAAAATCCTGTACACACCCACATCTTTGTTTTTGGAGTGGACTTTGTAGCGAGTAATTTTTATGTAGGATCAATGGCTCTGTATCATACCCATAGTATGTTTGATAACTCTTCATCCACAGATTCTGTATCTTGATTGGTCTAAAGTGTGTCATGTGACGTTTTACTAGATTTACTATTTTTGTACAACCACTCCAAAAGACTATACACATGCAGCCTCCCTCTGAAAAAGAACTATACCCGTAGCAACCAAAGAAATATACATCCATAGCAACGAAACCATGAATAGTACCCAGGCGTATATCTTGGCTCATAGCATAACCCTTTATCCGTCAATCTGCGAACGAAGATGCAAATAGTCATGGGCTGGCGTGTCGCGTAGTATCGCTGCACATTCTAACGTCACACACGAATTACAAAACGGTGTTCTTTGGTGTTTAATTATTGATGTTTAGCATAGATTGTGCAGTATCTGTGGGTGGGGTATATAAAACAAATCTTGACTGCTTTAGCTCTTAATAGAACAAAACTAGTCTCCCTCGGGGATCCATGAAGCATTCTTCGCCTCGAGAAAATAGAATGTTTCATGGATCACTTTGAGGGCTAGTTTTACTATACCACTCGAAGCACTCAGTACTGTGTACTATTAACAGACCATTTTTTTGCAAACAATGTACGTATCCTGAGGGTTGTCATTTTTTAGCTCTTTAAGATTGTCATGAATACGTTTGGCTGAGCTGTGACGAAAACAGTTCAATAGTTTTCATCGAGGCGAACTTCAGAACTGGTTATATGTCTGCTTTTTTGTTCTTTACTTATCTTGACTCCGGGCAGATTTTGATTTAGGTATTGAAACAGTTAATTTAATTATGCTTTTGTGAAGCGTGGCGATATTCAGATTAAATTTTCATAATTCCAAACCTCTTTATACAGGTCATACTCAGATGAAAGCGATCTGAGTTGCGAGGATGCAGATGGCAGGAGGCGGTCTAGACGACGAAGAGGGCGCCACCACAGGTCGAGGCATCGCAGCGGACATTCTTCAGATTCGTCTGACTACACGGGTAGCAGTGATTCACGTGAGAAATCCTCAGATACCTTTCTTCAATAATGCCCTACTAATTTGTGTTTTCAAACTTCTTTCTCTCCCAGATGTTTACATTGACA